ATAAAATAATAAAAATATAAAACTATAAAATTATTATTCTTGGTTGTTTGGGTAAAGTCACCACCACCACGTAGAAGGGAAACAATAAAATAATAAAAATATAAAACAATAAAATTCTCACTGCAACACAAGCAATCATCATCAGCTGTGAAACCCACAGCAAGAACAATTTGAAACACGGAGACAATTTCAAGCGAGAAGATGGATTCTGGCTTAGCAATCATTGGAAGGATTTGATGAACCATTTCGGGTCTTAACTGATTTAAATTTAGATTCAAAGCTTTCGTGAATGCAGGGATTCATATTCATGGTTCTTTGGGTAAAGTCACCACCACGTAGAAGGGAAACAATAAAATAATACAAATATAAAACATTAAAATTATTCTTGGTTCTTTGGGTAAAGTTACCACCACGTAGAAGGGAAACAATAAAATAATAAAAATATAAAACAATAAAATTATTATTCTTGGTTCTTTGGGGTAAAGTCACCGCCACGTAGAAGGGAAACAATAAAATAATAAAAATATAAAACAATAAAATTATTATTCTTGGTTCATTCGGGTAAAGTCACCACCACGTAGAAGGGAAACAATAAAATAATAAAAATATAAAACAATACAATTATTATTCTTGGTTCTTTGGGCAAAGTCACCACCACGTAGAAGGGAAACAATAAAATAATAAAAATATAAAACAATAAAATTATTATTCTTGGTTCTTTGGGAAAAGTCACCACCACCACGTAGATAGGGAAACAATAAAATAATAAAAATATAAAACTATAAAATTATTATTCTTGGTTCTTTGGGTAAAGTCACCACCACGTAGAAGGGAAACAATAAAATAATAAAAATATAAAACAATAAAATTATTATTCTTGGTTCTTTGGGTAAAGTCACCACCACGTAGAAGGGAAACAATTAAATAATAAAAATATAAAACAATAAAATTATTATTCTTGGTTCTTTGGGCAAAGTCACCACCACGTAGAAGGGAAACAATAAAATAATAAAAATATAAAACAATAAAATTATTATTCTTGGTTCTTTGGGTTAAAGTCACCACCACGTAGAAGGGAAACAATAAAATAATAAAAATATAAAACAATAAAATTATTATTCTTGGTTCTTTGGGTAAAGTCACCACCACGTAGAAGGGAAACAATAAAATAATAAAAATATAAAACAATAAAATTATTATTCTTGGTTCTTTGGGTGGTAAAGTCACCGCCACGTAGAAGGGAAACAATAAAATAATAAAAATATAAAACAATACAATTATTATTCTTGGTTCTTTGTGTAAAGTCACCACCACGTAGAAGGGAAACAATAAAATAATAAAAATATAAAACAATAAAATTATTATTCTTGGTTCTTTGGTGGTAAAGTCACCACCACCACGTAGATAGGGAAACAATAAAATAATAAAAATATAAAACAATAAAATTATTATTCTTGGTTCTTTGGCTAAAGGATAATCCCCCGTATATTATCATGGCGTGTTTGATTTTTTTTAGCATTTTGACCACAAGTATTGTGGTTCATGCATCACGTGATTCCTCGTTAAAAATGTGATAAAAAAAACCCCACCATTATTAGAAATGTTATTTTAACTATAATAACAACAGCAACACGCGCCATTAAACAACAAAACATTTTATTGGCTTAAAAATTTATAGGCGACCCAAAAATCAATCATGATGAGCCGATTGAAATAAATAAAAAAAATGGACAACGTTTTTAAAAAAAATAAAACGAGATTTAAAAAAATCTTTGGTCAATTCGTTAAAGTCACGCAGATATAATTTTTTTTTAATATATATAAAATTAAAAATAAATTAAAATAACGGCAACACACAGACAAAGCTCCCCCAGGTAGCCTCTAGCAGGGCTGTAGGGGCAAGTGCAGTCACACAGACACAGACAAAGCTCCCCCAGGTAGCCTCTAGCAGGGCTGTAGGGGCAAGTGCAGTCACACAGACAAAGGTGACCCAGGTAGCCTCTAGCAGGGCTGTAGGGGCAAGTGCAGCAGCGTCTTTGAAGGCTACCGGCACTGTGGATACACGAGGGGGTGGGTGTCCAGCACCACACCCGGCCGCCTTTGTCTCTCCCCCAGTGACGATATTGACTACACCACCACCATCACCACTACACAACCACCATCACTACCACTACACCACCACCACCACTACACCACCACCATCACCACTACACAACCACCATCACTACCACTACACCACCACCACCACTACACCACCACCATCACCACTACACAACCACCATCACTACCACTACACCACCACCACCACTACACCACCACCATCACTACACCACCACCACCACTACACCACCACAACACCACCACGACTATACCACCAATAACACACTCACACACTCACCCACTCACTCACCCACTCACCCACTCACTCACCCACTCACCCACCCACCCACCCACTCACCCACCCACCCACTCACTCACCCACTCACTCACCCACTCACTCACTCACCCACCCACCCACCCACTCACTCACTCACCCACCCACTCACTCACCCACCCACTCACCCACCCACCCACTCACCCACCCACTCACCCACCCACCTACAAACTCACCCACTCACTCACCCACTCACTCACTCACCCACCCACTCACCCACCCACTCACCCACCCACTCACTCACCCACTCACTCACTGAAACACTCACTCACTCAGTCACTCACTCACCCACCCACTCACTCACTCATCCACCCACTCACTCACCCACCCACCCACTCACCCACTCACTCACCCACTCACCCACTCACTCACCCACTCACCCACCCACTCACTCACCCACCCACTCACCCACCCACCCACTCACTCACTCACTCACCCACTCACCCACTCACTCACTCACCCACTCACTCACTCACCCACCCACCCACCCACTCACTCACCCACTCACTCACTCACTCACCCACCCACTCACTCACCCACCCACTCACCCACCCACCCACCCACTCACCCACCCACTCACCCACCCACCCACCCACACACTCACCCACTCACCCACTCACCCACTCACTCACTCACTCACCCACTCACCCACCCACCCACCCACTCACCCACCCACCCACCCACTCACTCACCCACTCACTCACCCACTCACTCACTCACCCACCCACCCACCCACTCACTCACTCACCCACCCACCCACTCACTCACCCACCCACTCACCCACCCACCCACCCACTCACCCACCCACTCACCCACCCACCCACAAACTCACCCACTCACTCACCCACTCACTCACTCACCCACCCACTCACCCACCCACTCACCCACCCACTCACTCACCCACTCACTCACTGAAACACTCACTCACTCAGTCACTCACTCACCCACCCACTCACTCACTCACTCATCCACCCACTCACTCACCCACCCACCCACTCACCCACTCACTCACCCACTCACCCACCCACTCACTCACCCACCCACTCACCCACCCACCCACCCACTCACTCACTCACTCACCCACTCACCCACTCACTCACTCACCCACTCACTCACTCAGCCACCCACCCACCCACCCACTCACTCACCCACTCACTCACTCACCCACCCACTCACTCACCCACCCACTCACCCACCCACCCACTCACCCACCCACTCACCCACCCACCCACCCACACACTCACCCACTCACTCACCCACTCACTCACTCACCCACCCACTCACCCACCCACTCAACCACCCACTCACTCACCCACTCACTCACTCAAACACTCACTCACTCAGTCACTCACTCACCCACCCACTCACTCACTCATCCACCCACTCACTCACCCACCCACTCACTCACTCACCCACTCACCCACCCACCCACTCACCCACTCACTCACTCACCCACTCACTCACTCACCCACCCACCCACCCACTCACTCACTCACTCACCCACCCACTCACTCACCCACCCACTCACCCACCCACCCACCCACTCACCCACCCACTCACCCACCCACTCACCCACTCACTCACCCACTCACTCACTCACCCACCCACTCACCCACCCACTCACCCACCCACTCACTCACCCACTCACTCACTCAAACACTCACTCACTCAGTCACTCACTCACCCACTCACTCACTCATCCACCCACTCACTCACCCACCCACCCACTCACTCACTCACCCACTCACCCACCCACTCACCCACTCACCCACTCACCCACTCACTCACTCACTCACCCACCCACTCACTCACTCACCCACTCACCCACCCACTCACCCACCCACCCAACCACCCACCCACTCACCCACCCACTCACTCACCCACTCACTCACCTACCCACTCACCCACCCACTCACCCACCCACTCACTCACCCACTCACTCACTCAAACACTCACTCACCCACTCACTCACTCAGCCACCCACCCACCCACTCACTCACCCACTCACCCACCCACTCACCCACCCACTCACTCACCCACTCACTCACCTACCCACTCACCCACCCACTCACCCACCCACCCACCCACTCACCCACCCACTCACCCACCCACTCACCCACTCACTCACCCACTCACTCACTCACCCACCCACTCACCCACCCACTCACCCACCCACTCACTCACCCACTCACTCACTCAAACACTCACTCACTCACTCACCCACCCACTCACTCACTCATCCACCCACTCACTCACCCACCCACCCACTCACTCACTCACCCACTCACCCACCCACTCACCCACTCACCCACTCACCCACTCACTCACTCACTCACCCACCCACTCACTCACCCACTCACCCACCCACTCACCCACCCACCCAACCACCCACCCACTCACCCACCCACTCACTCACCCACTCACTCACCTACCCACTCACCCACCCACTCACCCACCCACTCACTCACCCACTCACTCACTCAAACACTCACTCACTCAGTCACTCACCCACCCACCACTCACTCACCCACCCACTCACCCACCCACCCACTCACCCACCCACTCACCCACTCACTCACAGATGTTGACAGGGTGAGCTACGGGTTCCACATTTAGAGTCTCATCAGCAGTCCCAGCATTCCCCCAGTTCTGGTGGAACTGCCCCCAGATGTCGACTGATCGGGTTCCTGATGAGTTTGGCTGTGCAAGTTGGCAGCTGATCACGACCAATCAGCACAAAACCCTGGCTCCTGGAGGGGCTGCTGGAACGGAGGGAGTCCTAGCGAGTCGCTGGCGATGGAGATTCATGAGGATTGTCGCTTGCTCTGCAACACCACACACACAGACACACAGTCACACACACAGTGATACACACACACACAGTGACACACACACAGAGTCACACACACAGACACACACACACACACAGACACAGTCACACACACAGAAACACACACAGTGACACACACACACAGACACACACACATACAGTGACACACACAGACACACACACACAGACACACACACACAGTGACACACACACACACACAGACACACACATACAGTGACACACACACACAGACACACACACAGACACACACAGACACAGACACACAGACATACAGTCACACACACAGACACACACACAGAGACACACACACAGTGACACACAAACACAGACACACACAAACACACAGACACACACAGATACACACACACACACAGACACACACACACAGACACACACAGAGACACAGACAGACACACACACAGACACACACACACAGAGACACACACAGACACACACACACACAGACACACACACAGACACACACACAGACACACACACAGACACACACACACAGACACACACACAGACACACACACAGTGACACACACACAGACACAGACACACACAGACACACACACAGACACACACAGACACACACAGACACACACAGACATACACACAGACACACACAGTGCCACACACACAGAAACACACACACATAGACACACACACAGACACACACAGACACAGACACACAGACATACAGTCACACACACAGACACACACACAGAGACACACACACAGTGACACACAAACACAGACACACACAAACACACAGACACACACAGATACACACACACACACAGACACACACACACAGACACACACAGAGACACAGACAGACACACACACAGACACACACACACAGAGACACACACAGACACACACACACACAGACACACACACAGACACACACACAGACACACACACAGACACACACACACAGACACACACACAGACACACACACACAGACACACACACACACAGACACACACACAGTGACACACACACAGACACAGACACACACAGACACACACACAGACACACACAGACACACACAGACACACACAGACATACACACAGACACACACAGTGCCACACACACAGAGATACACACACACAGTGACGCACACACACGGACACACACACACAGACACACACACAGACACACACACACAGAGACACACACACAGACACACACACAGACACACACAGACACACACACACAGACACACACACACAGAAACACACACACATAGACACACACACAGACACACATACACACAGACACACAGACACACACACACAGACACACACACAGACACACACACAGAGATGATGATGTTGATGATGGTGATGGTGGTGATGATGGTGGTGGTGCTGATGGTAGTGGTGATGGTGGTGATGGTGGTGATGATGGTGGTGGTGGTGATGGTAGTGGTGATGGTGGTGATGGTGGTGATGGTGGTGGTGATGATGGTGGTGATGGTAGTGGTGATGGTGGTGATTGTGATGGTGGTGATGGTGATGGTGGTGATGGTGGTGATGGTGATGGTGGTGTTAGGGTGATGGTGATGTTTGTGATGGTGATGATGGTGATGTTAAGGTGATGGTGGTGGTGATGGTGGTGATAGTGATGATGGTGATGATGGTGATGATGGTGATGATGGTGGTGATGATGGTGGTGATGATGGTGGTGGTGGTGATGGTGGTGATGGTGGTGATGGTAGTGGTGATGGTAGTGGTGATGGTGGTGGTGATGGTGGTGATTGTGATGGTGGTGATGGTGGTGGTGATGGTGGTGATGGTGGTGATGGTGATGGTGGTGGTGATGGTGGTGGTGGTGTTAGGGTGATGGTGATGTTTGTGATGGTGATGATGGTGATGTTAAGGTGATGGTGGTGGTGATGGTGGTGATGGTGATGATGGTGATGATGGTGGTGATGGTGATGGTGGTGATGGTGTTGATGGTAATGGTGTTGATGGTGATGATGGTGTTGATGGTAGTGATGGTGTTGATGGTGTTGATGGTGATGGTGGTGATGGTGATGATGGTGATGGTGGTGATGGTGTTGATGGTGTTGATGGTGGTGATGGTGATGATGATGTTGATGTTGTTGATGGTGTTGATGGTGGTGATGGTGATGATGGTGGTGTTGATGGTGATGATGGTGTTGATGGTGATGGTGTTGATGGTGATGTTAGGGTGATGGTGTTGATGGTGTTGATGGTGTTGATGGTGATGTTAGGGTGTTGATGGTCATGGTGTTGATGGTGTTGATGGTGTGGTGATGGTGGTGGTGATGGTGATGATGGTGTTGATGGTGATAATGGTGTTGATGGTGTTGATGGTGTTGATGGTGGTGATGGTGATGGTGGTGATGGTGTTGATGGTGATGGTGATGATGGTGGTGATGGTGGTGATGGTGGTGATGGTGATGATGGTGATGGTGGTGATGGTGATGATGGTGGTGATGGTGGTGATGGTGGTGATGGTGATGATGGTGTTGATGGTGATGGTGGTGATGGTGTTGATGGTGATGGTGTTGTTAGGGTGTTGATGGTGGTGATGGTGTTGATGGTGGTGATGGCGTTGATGGTGTTGATGGTGTTGATGGTGGTGATGGTGTTGATGGTGGTGATGGCGTTGATGGTGTTGATGGTGTTGATGGTGTTGATGGTGGTGATGGTGTTGATAGTGATGGTGATGTTAGGGTGTTGATGGTCATGGTGTTGATGGTGTTGATGGTGTGGTGATGGTGGTGGTGATGGTGTTGATGGTGTTGATGGTGTGGTGATGGTGGTGGTGATGGTGTTGATGGTGTTGATGGTGTTGATGGTATTCACATCACAGGAGTCAGATTCGTGACGTGACCCAACTCCATGAGTTGCTGCAGGAGGTTCCATTCAGAAGACACATTGTGGATATTATCCTGAAGAACACAAAAACAACAACAACAACATCATCATCATCATCACACACACACACAACAACACACACAACAACATCAACAACATCATCACACACACACAACAACAACAACAACATCATCATCACACACACTACACACAATAACAACAACATCAACAACACACACAACAACACACAATAACAATACACACAACAACATCATCATCAACAACAACAACAACAACCGCCATTCGCCACTAAGTGGCGGTGACGTCACCACGACGCTTGTGCCAGGCTATGTGCACCCTGAGGCCACGTGAAGTGTCGAACGCCCGCTGGCAGGAGGTCACGGGGCAGACCCAGGTGCCACGGGTCGACTGACTGAGATGACTGGCTGATGCACCACCTGTGCCCCCTACTGTGCCAACCTGCTGTGCTTTAGCCACCCGGCGCTCCGCTCGCTGTTGTGAGCGTCGCTCCTCCGCCCTCCGTTGTTGTTGGAGGGCGACTGCCTCCAACTGCCCAGTAGCATCCTTCACGAGCCTCCTCCACAGAGGCCGATCTTGACACCGCTGGTACCAGTCATCGGCAAGTCCACTCAGCTCCACGTCCTCCTGTACCACATCACTCCATCTCTTCTCTAGCCCGTGCCGCGCCCGCTTAGCCCCCTCAATCCGGCCAAACAAAAGCTGTTTCGGCATGCGGTGGCTGGGCATGCGGGCTACATGACCCAGCCATCGCAGCCTTGCCTGCCGGAGGAGCTCACCGATGGGACCCTGCCCAGATCTTTCAAGGATTTGTGAGCTCCTCACACAATCCAGTCTGGTTAAACCCAGGATGGATCGTAGGCAGGCCAGCCTAAATGTTTCTAACCGGCGAAGATGTTCCATTAGGGGGGTCCACGTTTCGCAAGCGTAGAGAAGGGAGGGAATGACCGTGGCCGAGAAGACCTGAAGCTTAGTGCGGAGCGACAGACCAGGTAGCTTCCACACAGCGTTACGCAACCGATGAAAAGATATTGCCGCTCGACTGATTCGGAGTGAGACCTCTGCGGTTAAACTGGTGCCAGTCATAAGCACACTGCCCAGGTATGGGAAACTCTCCACTCTCTCCACAACTGCCCCATCACCGATTGGGAGTTGTGGGGGTGGAGTGTCCGATGGTACAAAATACCCAGGCAGGTGCTTGGTTTTGGTGGGGCTGATGGTAAGGCCCCACCTCTTAGTGGCACGCTCCAGTCTCAGCAGCAGCGTCTCCAACTCCTCCTCTGACTGAGCAGCTATTACCAAGTCATCAGCATACATAACGTGGTTGAGCAATAGGGAGCCATCCCTTGACCGCACCCGGGCATCGATTAGCCTCCCATTATATCTGTACCATATGGAGATTCCCCCGGTACAGCTATTGAAGGCTTCACGAACTACGTGGTCAAAATAGATGTTAAATAATGTGGGAGCCAGAGGACATCCCTGTCGCACCCCAAGGTGTACAGGGAATGGCTCTGACTCCCGGCCACGTAGTTTTACCCGGGCCCGCTCACCATCATGAAGGTCCTTAATGATCGTGAGCAGAGGGTCAGGTACTCCAAAAGCACGAAGAACGACCCAGAGCCCAGGCCTACTGATGGTATCATAGGCCTTGACCAGGTCAATAAAGCAGAGATGTAGGTCTTGTTGGAATTCCCTACACCTCTGCTGTAGCAGACGGACAGAAAATATGGCACCTGTGCAGGACCGCCCTTTCCTGAAACCGCATTGGGGCTCCGCAAGCCTCTCCTCAGCGTGCCTGGCAAGGCGATGCTGAATAATCCTTGCCAGGACCTTTCCCGGCACACTGAGGAGTGAGATGCCCCTGTAGTTGTTACAGTCTGTGCGGTCCCCCTTCTTAAAAAGGGGGACCACCAGGGCATCCTTCCAATCCTGCGGAACCCGTCCAGTGGTCCAGACTGTTGTTATGATGTCATATAGGGCAGTCTGTGCACAAACGCCACCCTCCCTCAGCATTTCGCTTGGAAGATCATCTCTGCCCGCTGCCTTTCCTGGTCTCAGACTCCGGATCGCCTTCAATACTTCCTCAGCAGATGGCACCTCAGCCAGCCACTCACAGGGGGTGACTTCATCCAATATTTGAGGCACCGCAGCCTCAGCAGGGTCATCCTCACTTTGTGCCACGATGTTTTCCTGGCTGAGGGATTTTCCCTCCCCCAGGACCTCACAGAAATGCTCAGCAAATCTGCGAACCTGTTCCTGGGGGTCGGAAATTGGATCGCCGTTTTTTCCCCTAATGATGGTAATAGGTGTGGCGCTGCAGGTTACTTTTTTGATGGAGTTAAATAGAGATTTGTGATCACGGGCCACTGAGGCAGACTCCATCTCCTCAGCAACCCGCGACCACCACCCATCCTTGCAGCGCCTCACGGCTCTCCGAACCTCCGAGCGAAGGCTGCGGTAAGCCTCCTCATTCTCTGACGTGGGACTCTGTAGCCGATGACAGTGGGCCTGTCGCTTTTTCTCAACCATCGTGAACAACTCCTCTGTCATCCAGGGTGTCTGGGGAGGTCTGGACCGCGTACCCAAAGCAGCCATTGCAGCTGCATGAGTCACAGTCCTAAACCTCGCCCATTTACCCTCGACATCAGGAGGAGTCGGGGACGATGCCAATCCCAGCCGCAAGCGATGATGAAATTCTCGCTTGCAACTTTCATCAGATAACTGAGACCAGGCCACTTTAGGTTGGAATGGGGTCCTGGGTGTACACCCACCACCGGAGTGGAAGAATGGCAGGCGCATCTTACAGATGACTAGTCGATGGTCAGAGGGCAGATCAGCTCCACGGTAGGTCCTGGTGTCAAGGACATGGGCTCGCATTCGCTGGTCCGTCACTATGTAGTCCAGCAAATGTTCTTGCTTGGACCCGGCATGCATCCATGATGTTGTGTGGATGCGCCGATGCCGGAACAGCGTGTTGGTAATTACAAGCCCATGGGCTGCACAAAAATCTAGCAGCCTCCTACCGTTGTTATTGAGCTGATCTGGCCCATGCCCTCCAATCACTCCAGGCCAGGTGCCAGTATCATGACCAACTCGGGCATTGAAGTCACCCAACATGATGACTCTATCCCGAGGGGCCACTTTAGCCAGCACCTGTGACAGGAGGTCATAGAAGGCATCTGACTCATCGGCTTTGCCTGCATCCCTCCACGGATGTTCATCTTCGGTGGGGGCATAAGTAACCACGACCACCATTCCTCGCCTCCGGTTGATGGGAAGGCGAGCCCAAAGTAGCCTGGGGCTTACAGCTTCCCACACCTCACCACCACGCTCCCACGCCCCCTTCATTCTTTTGTTCAAAAGAAGACCCACACCCTGTTGTTTGGCAGTCTGCTGCCCCGAGTAGAGAACTGTCCACCCCTCATGGTGGCAGGAGCCAGAGCCGGTCCACCGGACCTCCTGAATGCCGCATAGATCCAGGCGGTACCGGTCCAGCTCCCGACAGAGGAGTGGCAGCCTCTCCTCTGCAGTGAGCGTTCGAACATTCCACGTGGCCAACCGTAGTGGCTTTTCGTTGTTTCTGGAGTAGCCCCGAGGGTAGGTATTCAATCTCCTGGCTCCGCCAATTGGGGTTTGGCCAGGAGACGTCATAGACGCCTGGCCCCCCGGGGCCTCCGGCACAAGCTTAGTTGTTACATATTTAAGTTTAATTCGTGGTTTCGTGGTAATTAATTGAAGGTGGAGGGGTTACCAGCCCCTCGCACCCGTCCAGAGCCCCCGTTTAGCCCCTGTGGTGGACACATATGCCATGAGGGGAGGAGCCAATCAAAATTGGATCTCCCCCCACAGCGCTGTCCACGACAGAGTTGCCCGTCCGGCACCGCGAGGAGGTAGGGGGTTGTTTTGCCGGACCTCATCATCACACACACAACAACACACAATACACAAAACAACAACATCATCACACACACACAACACACAATAACAACAACAACATCAACAACAACAACACACAATAACAATACACACAACAACAACATCATCATCACACACACAACAACACACACAACAACACACAATAACAAAACACACAATAACAACACACACAACATCATCATCACACACACACACAACAACACACAACAACAACAACAACATCACATACACACAACAACAACATCATCACACACACACAACAACACACAACAACAACAACAACAACATCACATACACACAACAACAACATCATCATCACACACACAACAACACACAATAACAACGACAACATCAACAACAACACACAATAACAACAACAACATCACACACACTACAACACACACAACAACAACAACCACACACACACACAACAACAACAACATCACACACACACAACAACAACATCAACATCAACAACAACATCAATAACATCAACAACATCAACATCAACAACATCATCAACAACAACAACATCAACATCATCATCACACACACACATCAACACACACAATAACAACAACAACATCAACAACACACAATAACAACAACAACATCATCATCACACACACACAACAACACACAATAACAACAACAATAACATCAACAACATCAACAACATCAACACACACAATAACAACAACAACAACATCAACAACACACACAACAACACACAATAACAACAACAACAACAACATCATCATCACACACACACATCAACACACAAAAACAACAACAACATCAACAACAATAACAATAACAACAACACACACAATAACAACAACAACATCAACAACATCAACAACACACACAATAACAACAATACACACATAACAACAACACACAATAACAACAACAACATCAACAACAACATCAACAACATCATCACACACACACAACAACACACAATAACAACAATAACATCAACAACATCAACAACATCAACACACACAATAACAATAACAACAACATCAACAACATCAACACACAATAACAATAACAACAACCACACACAGACAATGAATATCCACGGGCAGAGAGACGTGTACCAGGCGAGGTAGTCAACATCTCACAGGGTCTGTGATCTAACCCACGACCTCCTGTGTACCAGGCGAGGTAGTCAACATCTCACAGTGTCTGTGATCTAACCCACGACCTCCTGTGTACCACGCGAGGTAGTCAACATCTCACAGGGTCTGTGATCTAACCCACGACCTCCTGTGTACCAGGCGAGGTAGTCAACATCTCACAGGGTCTGTGATCTAACCCACGACCTCCTGTAGACCAGGCGAGGTAGTCAACATCTCACAGTGTCTGTGATAGAACCCACGACCTCCTGTGTACCAGGCGAGGTAGTCAACATCTCACAGGGTCTGTGATCTAACCCACGACCTCCTGTAGACCAGGCGAGGTAGTCAACATCTCACAGGGTCTGTGATTGAACCCACGACCTCCTGTGTACCAGGCGAGGTAGTCAACATCTCACAGGGTCTGTGATCTAACCCACGACCTCCTGTATACCAGGCGAGGTAGTCAACATCTCACAGTGTCTGTAATAGAACCCACGACCTCCTGTGTACCAGGCGAGGTAGTCAACATCTCACAGGGTCACGTGATCTAACCCACGACCTCCTGTGTACCAGGCGAGGTAGTCAACATCTCACAGTGTCTGTGATCTAACCCACGACCTCTTGTGTACCAGGCGAGGTAGTCAACATCTCACAGGGTCTGTGATCGAACCCACGACCTCCTGTGTACCAGGCGAGGCAGTCAACATCTCACAGTGTCTGTGATCTAACCCACGACCTCCTGTGTACCAGGCGAGGTAGTCAACATCTCACAGTGTCTGTGATCTAACCCACGACCTCCTGTGTACCAGGCGAGGTAGTCAACATCTCACAGAGTATGGGATCTAATCCACGACCTCCTGTGTACCAGGCGAGGTAGTCAACATCTCACAGGGTCTGGGATCTAATCCACGACCTCCTGTGTACCAGGCGAGGTGGTCAACATCTCACAGTGTATCTAACCCACGACCTCCTGTAGACCAGGCGAGGTAGTCAACATCTCACAGGGTCTGTGATCTAACCCACGACCTCCTGTGTACCAGGCGAGGTAGTCAACATCTCACAGTGTCTGTGATCTAACCCACGACCTCCTGTGTACCAGGCGAGGTAGTCAACATCTCACAGGGTATGGGATCTAACCCACGACCTCCTGTGTACCAGGCCAGGTAGTCAACATCTCACAGGGTCACGTGATCTAACCCACGACCTCCTGTGTACCAGGCGAGGTAGTCAACATCTCACAGGGTCTGTGATCTAACCCACAACCTCCTGTGTACCAGGCGAGGTAGTCAACATCTCACAGTGTCTGTGATAGAACCCACGACCTCCTGTAGACCAGGCGAGGTAGTCAACACCTCTCAGGGTCTGTGATCGATCCCACGACCTCCTGTAGACCAGGCGAGGTAGTCAACATCTCACAGTGTCTGTGATCTAACCCACGACCTCCTGTGTAGCAGGCGAGGTAGTCAACATCTCACAGGGTCACGTGATCTAACCCACGACCTCCTGTGTACCAGGCGAGGTAGTCAACATCTCACAGGGTCACGTGATCTAACCCACGACCTCATGTGTACCAGGCGAGGTAGTCAACATCTCACAGGGTCTGTGATAGAACCCACGACCTCCTGTTTACCAGGCGAGGTAGTCAACATCTCACAGTGTCTGTGATAGAACCCACGACCTCCTGTGTACCAGGCGAGGTAGTCAACATCTCACAGTGTCTGTGATCTAACCCACGACCTCCTGTGTACCAGGCGAGGTAGTCAACATCTCACAGGGTCTGTGATCGAACCCACGACCTCCTGTGTACCAGGCGAGGCAGTCAACATCTCACAGTGTCTGTGATCTAACCCACGACCTCCTGTGTACCAGGCGAGGTAGTCAACATCTCACAGTGTCTGTGATCTAACCCACGACCTCCTGTGTACCAGGCGAGGTAGTCAACATCTCACAGAGTATGGGATCTAATCCACGACCTCCTGTGTACCAGGCGAGGTAGTCAACATCTCACAGGGTCTGGGATCTAATCCACGACCTCCTGTGTACCAGGCGAGGTGGTCAACATCTCACAGTGTCTGTGATCTAACCCACGACCTCCTGTGTACCAGGCGAGGTAGTCAACATCTCACAGGGTATGGGATCTAATCCACGACCTCCTGTGTACCAGGCGAGGTAGTCAACATCTCACAGGGTCTGGGATATAATCCACGACCTCCTGTGTACCAGGCGAGGTGGTCAACATCTCACAGTGTCTGTGATCTAATCCACGACCTCCTGTGTACCAGGCGAGGTAGTAAACATCTCACAGGGTCTGCGATCTAACCCACGACCTCCTGTAGACCAGGCGAGGTAGTCAACATCTCACAGGGTATGGGATCTAACCCACGACCTCCTGTGTACCAGGCGAGGTAGTCAACATCTCACAGTGTCTGTGATCTAACCCACGACCTCCTGTGTACCAGGCGAGGTAGTCAACATCTCACAGGGTATGGGATCTAACCCACGACCTCCTGTGTACCAGGCCAGGTAGTCAACATCTCACAGGGTCACGTGATCTAACCCACGACCTCCTGTTTACCAGGCGAGGTAGTCAACATCTCACAGTGTCTGTGATAGAACCCACGACCTCCTGTAGACCAAGCGATGTAGTCAACATCTCTCAGGGTCTGTGATCGATCCCACGACCTCCTGTAGACCAGGCGAGGTAGTCAACATCTCACAGGGTCTGTGATAGAACCCACGACCTCCTGTGTACCGTGCGAGGTAGTCAACATCTCACAGGGTCACGTGATCTAACCCACGACCTCATGTGTACCAGGCGAGGTAGTCAACATCTCACAGGGTCACGTGATCTAACCCACGACCTCATGTGTACCAGGCGAGGTAGTCAACATCTCACAGGGTCTGTGATAGAACCCACGACCTCCTGTTTACCAGGCGAGGTAGTCAACATCTCACAGGGTCTGTGATCTAACCCACGACCTCCTGTGTACCAGGCGAGGTAGTCAACATCTCACAGGGTCACGTGATCTAACCCACGACCTCCTGTGTACCAGGCGAGGTAGTCAACATCTCACAGGGTCTGTGATCTAACCCACGACCTCCTGTGTACCAGGCGAGGTAGTCAACATCTCACAGGGTCTGTGATCTAACCCACGACCTCCTGTGTACCAGGCGAGGTAGTCAACATCTCACAGGGTCTGTGATCTAACCCACAACCTCCTGTGTACCAGGCGAGGTAGTCAACATCTCACAGGGTCTGTGATCTAACCCACGACCTCCTGTGCACCAGGCGAGGTAGTCAACATCTCACAGGGTCTGTGATCTAACCCACGACCTCCTGTAGACCAGGCGAGGTAGTCAAAATCTCACAGGGTCACGTGATGGAACCCACGACCTCCCGTGTACCAGGCGAGGTAGTCAACATCTCACAGGGTCTGTGATCTAACCCACGACCTCCTGTGTACCAGGCGAGGTAGACAACATCTCACAGGGTCTGTGATCGATCCCACGACCTCCTGTGTACCAGGCGAGGTAGTCAACATCTCAGTCTCCAACCTTCGTGATTTCTTGCATACGGCTCTGGCCGTAGTAGTGGACCAGAGCTCCCGGCGAATTTGCCGGATAGCCAAAGCCGGCGATGGAAACTTCGGGGCAGGCGTGGAGAGCGGCAAGAACAGCGATGAATCCCGTGGTGGGTAGCTGAGAGACACAGAGAGAGAGACACACAGAGAGAGAGACAGAGAGAGAGACACATTACTACAGAGAGACAGAGAGAGAGACAGAGAGACATTAGTACAGAGAGACAGAGAGAGACACAGAGAGAGAGAGAGACAGAGACACATTAGTACAGAGAGACAGAGAGAGAGAGACAGAGAGAGAGACACACAGAGAGAGACAGAGAGACATTAGTACAGAGAGAGACAGAGAGAGACACATTACTACAGAGAGACAGAGAGAGAGACAGAGAGAGAGAGAGACAGAGAGAGAGAGACAGAGAGACATTAGTACAGAGAGACAGAGATAGACAGAGAGACAGAGAGACACAGAGAGAGACAAAGTGACAGAGAGACATTAGTACAGAGAGACAGAGATAGACAGAGAGACAGAGAGACACACATTACTACAGAGAGACAGAGAGAGACAGAGAGAGAGAGACACAGAGAGAGAGACACAGACAGAGATAGACACAGAGAGAGAGAGAGACAGAGACACATTACTACAGAGAGACACACAGAGAGAGACACATTACTACAGAGAGACAGAGAGAGACAGAGAGACAGAGAGAGACATTACTACAGAGACACAGAGAGAGAGACACAGAGAGAGAGACAGAGACACATTACTACAGAGAGACACAGAGAGAGAGACACATTACTACAGAGATACAGAGAGAGACACAGAGAGAGAGAGACAGAGAGACATTACTACAGAGAGACAGAGAGAGACAGAGAGAGAGAGACAGAGAGAGACAGAGACACACAGAGAGAGAGACAGAGACACATTACTACAGAGAGACAGAGAGAGACATTACTACAGAGAGACAGAGACAGAGATAGACACAGACAGAGAGAGAGACAAAGAGAGAGACAGAGAGACACATTACTACAGAGAGACACAGAGAGACAGAGAGAGACAAAGACAGAGAGAGACAGAGAGACACAGAGAGAGAGACAGAGACACATTACTACAGAGAGACAGAGAGAGACAGAGACACATTACTACAGAGAGACACAGAGAGAGATATTACTACAGAGAGACAGAGAGAGACAGAGAGAGAGACACAGAGAGAGACAGAGAGAGAGACATTACTACAGAGAGACAGAGAGACACATTACTACAGAGAGACAGAAAGACAGAGAGAGAGAGACATTACTACAGAGAGACAGAGAGAGACATTACTACAGAGAGACAGAGAGAGAGACAGAGAGAGAGACATTACTACAGAGAGACAGAGAGACACAGAGAGACACAGAGAGAGACAGAGACACAGAGAGAGAGACAGAGACACATAGACTCATTACTACAGAGAGACACAGAGAGAGACACAGAGAGAGACACAGAGAGAGACAGAGACACATAGACTCATTACTACAGTGAGACAGAGATAGACACAGACAGAGAGAGACACAGAGAGAGACAGAGAGACACATTACTATAGAGAGACACAGAGAGACAGAGAGAGACAGAGAAAGAGAGAGACAGAGAGACACAGAGAGAGAGAGACAGAGACACATAGACGCATTGCTACAGAGAGACACAGAGAGAGACACAGAGAGAGACACAGAGAGAGACAGACACATAGACTCATTACTACAGAGAGACAGAGATAGACACAGACAGAGAGAGACACAGAGAGAGACAGAGAGACACATTACTACAGAGAGACACAGAGAGACAGAGAGAGACAGAGAAAGAGAGAGACAGAGAGACACAGAGAGAGAGAGACAGAGACACATAGACGCATTGCTACAGAGAGACACAGAGAGAGACACAGAGAGAGACACAGAGAGAGACTGAGACACATAGACTCATTACTACAGAGAGACAGAGAGAGAGAGAGACAGAGACACAGAGAGACATAGACTCATTACTACAGAGAGACAGAGAGAGAGACAGAGAGAGACAGAGACATTACTACAGAGAGACAGACAGAGACATTACTACAGAGAGACAGAGAGACACAGAGAGACAGAGAGAGAGACAGGGACACAGAGAGAGAGAGACAGAGACACATAGACTCATTACTACAGAGAGACACAGATAGAGACACAGAGAGAGACACAGAGAGAGAGACAGAGACACATAGACTCATTACTACAGAGAGACACAGATAGAGACACAGAGAGAGACACAGAGAGAGACAGAGACACATAGATTCATTACTACAGAGAGACAGAGATAGACACAGACAGAGAGAGAGACACAGAGAGAGACAGAGAGACACATTACTACAGAGAGACACAGAGAGACAGAGAGAGACAGAGACAGAGAGAGACAGAGAGACACAGAGAGAGAGAGACAGAGAGACATTACTACAGAGAGACAGAGAGAGAGACACACACAGAGAGAGAGAGACAGAGACACATTACTACAGAGAGACAGCGAGAGACACAGAGAGACAGAGAGACACATTACTACAGAGAGACAGAGAGAGAGACAGAGACACATAGACTCATTACTACAGAGAGACAGAGAGAGAGACAGAGAGAGACAGAGAGACAGAGAGAGAGACAGAGACACAGAGAGAGATAGACACAGAGAGACAGAGACACATTAGTACAGAGAGACAGAGAGACACAGAGAGAGAGAGAGAGACAGAGACACATTACTACAGAGAGAGAGAGACAGAGAGAGACAGAGACACATGGAGAGAGACACAGAGAGAGAGAGAGACAGAGAGAGACAGAGCCACATAGACTCATTACTACAGAGAGACAGAGACAAAGAGAGAGACAGAGAGAGACAGAGAGACAGAGACAGAGAGATAGACAGACTCATTACTACAGAGAGACACAGACAGAGAGATACAGAGAGACACAGAGACACAGAGAGACACAGAGAGACAGAGACACATAGACTCATTACTACAGAGAGACAGAGACACAGAGAGACAGAGAGAGACACAGAGAGACACATAGACTCATTACTACAGAGAGACAGAGAGAGACATTACTACAGAAAGACAGAGAGAGACACAGAGAGACAGAGACACATAGACTCATTACTACAGAGAGACAGAGACACAGAGAGACAGAGAGAGACAGAGAGACACATAGACTCATTACTACAGAGAGACACAGAGAGACAGAGAGAGACAGAGACAAAGAGAGAGACAGAGAGACAGAGACACATAGAGAGACACACAGAGAGAGAGACACATAGACTCATTACTACAGAGAGACAGAGACAGACAGAGACACAAAGAGACACACAGAGAGACACAGAGACACACAGAGAGACACAGAGACACAGAGACACTCAGACAAACAGAGACACAGAGACACACAGAGAGACACAGAGACACACAGAGACACAGATAGACACACAGACACACAAAGAGACACACACAGGGACACATCGAGAAACACAGAGACACAGAGACACACAGAGACACAGAGAGACACAGAGACACACAGAGACACAGAGACACAGAGAGACACCGAGAAACAGAGAGACACAGAGACACACAGAGACACAGAGACAGACAGAGACACAGAGAGACACAGAGACACACAGAGACACAGAGACAAACAGAGACACAGAGAGACACAGAGAGACACACAGAGAGACACAAAGAGACACACAGATACACAGAGACACAGAGAGACATAGAGACACACAGAGACACAGAGAGACACAGAGAGACACACAGAGAGACACAGAGACACACAGAGACACAGAGACACACAGAGACACACAGAGACACGGAGACACACAGAGAGACACAGAGACACACAGAGAGACACAGAGACACACAGAGACACACAGAGAGACACAGAGACACACAGAGACACACAGAGACACATACAGAGAGACACAGAGACACACAGAGACACAGAGACACAGAGACACACAGAGACACAGAGAGACACAGAGAGACACACAGAGAGACACACAGAGACACACAGATACACAGAGACACAGAGAGACATAGAGACACACAGAGACACAGAGAG